AGATGTTCCTGTATCTGAGATAACATCCCATTTGGTACATGTACCTTGATTACCAACCTTAACACCAGTAATAGTGAATTGCCAATAAGCTGCACGTGTTAGAGGGACTTTAAGCATTGTGGTCCCGCAGTGTTCCTTGTCGTACCCGCCATATGTAATAATGCCGCCAACATCTCCTTCCTTTCTACCCTAAATAGAAAGCTGCTGATGAAGTCGGAAAAGCCAAGATTAGTGAAGGCGAGTATATTTTGAAAAGGAATTTCATAGACTTTTATGATATATTATTGTGATAGATGTTACTGTACCCTGCGAGCCAACCATACTGTGAAAAGTGGTTCATTGAGAAGCCTCTGATTAACTGCATTTATAAGCGGAGGTTTGACTTTGGTGACAGATAAATCTTCAAATCCAAGACCTAGAATACCGTCAACCACGTCTTGCTCAAATCCACTCATAGATGTGGCCTGACCGAACGCTTGCTTGGATATTGCCAACTGTTCTTCGTTGATGCCTCCAATCTAAACAAGGTTCTGCTGACAATGCCACTTGTGAACCTGTACTATTGAAAATTTTCAAAACATACCGTTATTGAATCAACGCCTAAGAAGCCGGTTGCGTTTGACCCGTCTCCGTAGGAAACAGTCCATGTTCTACCGTCTGCTGCGTATGTTTTAGATTTAGACGAGTCAAAAGTATGCTTGTTTTTGCATGTAGTTATGCAATTTCGATCGGGTATCCAAAAATCTGCTGATCCTGTGTCTAAAACGACCACGAATTCTTGACCTTTTGGACTTCCAATGGTTGCGTTTCCAACGTATTCAAGATCATCGTAATCGTTCAACTAAATCTGTTTTCCTATAGGTTCAAAAAATAAAATAATTAAGTGGTTGTAACAGCTTACGTATAAAAAATAAATTATAGAAATAAAGTGTACTTGTTGTGCGACAACCGCTTTCGAATCTATTTTTCGCGCAGTACGAAGAAGATTTTTTTGTTTTAGGTGTTTGCTCCATAGTCCAGCTCTCAAAAGTTTTGTTCTCCGGCTTTCAATTTCATATAGTTGCACGTTAGAAACTAAGGCAGTGATAGTTTCCGCGAAAGCAAGGAGAAGAATAAGCTTCATATTCCTTTACTCGTTAGACAGCCTGTTACCTCTGCTGCGGCAGTTGTTTATACTCGTCTAAAATAGAATACGAAATAATGTAGGAAGACATGTTTTGCTCTGATAAAAATGACCAAAAAAATAGAAAATTTTGCTGTTTTACTGCAGCTTTTTTGATTAGATGAAAAGGTTACATAAGCTGTGAGAACGTTTTGCAATCACAAAAGATTGGTCAATTCCAGTAGTACCAGGTAACGAAAAGAGAATTATGAGATGACATTCTCATCGGTATGCTGTTGATTTTATTGCTTCTTACCTGGTTGTTTTGACAGAATATTTTTTGCTTTGAAATGAGTTTAAGAAATTTACGTTAGTTTCCAAAGGAAAAACGTGTGTTTGTGTATCGCGTTTTCAAAAAACCGAGAAAACTAAAGTACGGTTCACCAAGCGTAATAAAGTTTCTATAGGTTATCTTCCTTACTGAATATAATAGCTCTAATAATACAACGAAATAACCAACGTTAATTGGAGTTTATCAGCAAACGTTTAATAATTTTTATTTTTAAGCTGTTTTTTTTTGTGGCTGAGACAGAGAAACTTTTCATCGTTTTGCAAGGCTGAGCTACAGACACATATATATATATATATATATATA